ATCTCAACAAGTAATGTGAATCTGGGTTTAACTATTTCGGGTAAGTACACGCTTGGGGACCTGAGCAAGCTGTGTTTGACTTGGTTTCCGCACTCCCATTTCGAGGACAGTAGTACCGCTGATTGGAATTAGGTCTGGGGCCGTGTTCCCTTGATCTCTGGCATACTATTGTTGAAAGTGCTATGCCTATGCTAGGAGTGCTAATTCTAGTAACCATACTTGCTAAGACCAATAAGTGGCAGACTACCATGCGGCCTGTGCGTACATGTATGATATTTTAGCTTAGCGTGCAGTCATAGACCTATAAGGGGATATTAGTAAGCTCAAGGTTGGAGAAAGGTATATGTAACAAGAGCTGAGGAACTGTCATGCATTTAGGTGGTAACAGAGTGGCATGTGCCATTTTTCAGGATACTTCTGTTGGAAGTGCCGTGCCTAGGCTAAAAGTGCTAGTTCTAGTAGTCATACTTGGTAAAGCCAGTAAGTAGCAAGCTTCAGTGCGGCCTGTACATGCATTTAGGAAATTTTAACCTCGTATTAAGCCGTAACCTATTCGGAATTTCAGTAACAGTAGGGTTAAAGAATGTGTATTTAATGATAGCTTAATATCTACCACCGCTACGTGCTCAAATTTCGGACTTTTGCAACATCTATAATATCTAGTTTTAGCTCAGAAATTGCAGAGCACCGTCTGCTTAGTAGGAAGCAAGATTCTCCAGCAGTCAGTTAGTCATGGAAGCTTAGTAAATTCCTTTAACAGTACTAATAGTTCAGAAATATGACCTAAATCCTATTTATATCAATTTAGTTTACCAGGTGGGAATATGAGTATATCAGCTGCGGTGATTCTGCCTCATCCGGCAGGTAAGGTTTTAACTAGCTTCACGTTGTAACTGCTACGACTCGTGTCTATACTGCTAGTTCTTTATACTGATAGTACTGGTAGCGGCGGTTTTTTTCTATTTAACTGTTAGTGGGATAGTGCAAGTACCTTTAAAAGTAGAATTGATGAATACAGTAAAGAGAGAGCACACTAAAAGTATTAGCCTGAAGGACAGCAGTACGACAATACAGTATCGGGTAGGTATTGTAGGACAGTCTAAGTCAGTGCAACAGGAATAGGGCAATTTCAGTGATGCTGGTAGTATTAGTAATAACGGTGATACTAGCACATCAGGGCTCTCCTTGCTTTCTGCCCTCTCAACTCTAG